AGGAAAGTCATCCTGGAAGAAGACACTTCAAGCTAATAAACAATCATTTTACATAAATCAGAAAATACATTTTCTATTCAATGAAGTAGTGAAACACCTGACTACTTAAGTTTGGTTGGATAAGTATCTTGGGCTGTTCACAAAGAGTTTCATGATCCAAAAGACTGCAACGGAGAGGACAACTGTACAACTCAGAGTCTTTTGGACCTAAATGTATTTATCTAAGCAGACAAATTGCGGGGGAGCTTATAAACGGGTGTCGTACATAGAGCAACAATGACTGCAAATCCCCCAAATATCACGTTTGGTGGAACAAAGCAAAAATCTCACCTGTTTTAAATATTCCCCTGTCCCCTTCAGGATCCCTGTGCACCTCTGCACCAATTCCAGCGCTCTGGCTATTTTCCGATCTCTCTCTCTGGAACACCTCCTCTGATCACTTGTATGTCCTCCCTTTTGTTAAAACAACAACAGTTCCAGCCTTAAATTGAATATTTCGAGAAGAATGTCATAGAGAACAACATCTAGTGACTAGTAACTGACATTATCTCCAGTCACCATCATAGTGTCAGCACACAAAGCATCCACTACAGGTCGGGTCCTTTTTGACAAATGCTCTCATGAGACACCTCAGATTTTTACAAAAGACACTCTTGACCTTATGTGCTGCCTCTGCACTTGGACGGTTTTTATTTTTTTCACTAAAAATTGTATTTCTAAAATGTTTTCGTTTTGTAAATCATCATTATGACCTGTATAGAGTGAGCCAGACTAATTACAAGTGCTGGAAGCCGTCCCGAGGTCCCACAAAGGCAGTCTTGAGGGGGACATTGGCCAAATCTACAAAGCTATGTTTTTTATGTTTGAGTTGCAAAACCATAATGCACAGAAAACAACAACATTTTACAGGATTTTGTCATCCAACTGTCAAATTATAGGAGATATTTTACTATTTAAAAATAACATTGTTTTGAATATTACCCTCCATAAACAAATATGAACACAACTGGATGAAATCTATGAAAATGTAACCATTTTATTGTTGTAGTGATTTTTCTCTTCAAAGGTCAAACACTGTATTTCTCTGTGACTCGTTTGGTAAATATACAGTATATATTTATCACATTATACAGTCTGTAAAATGAAATTACACTGAGCACTTACCTAATGAATGTCCTTCACTTCCATTATTCTTCCATATGTGTGGCAGAAGTAATCTGGTTTATACTGTAATCGTTTTTTATGTTCACAGAAATAAAAACAATTCCATTTGTATTTGAAACACATAATAAATATTTATTTCAGACAAAAAAATAATGCTTTACAGTTTTTTGAAAACCTCTTTGTAGCCATAGCAAGACAGACCTGCTATTCAAGTATTCACATGACCTAAGTGTCAGTCTACAGATGCAAACATACTGCATTTAATTATTTTTTCATCCAATTACTACTTAAAAGGACTGTTGTGCAGAGCTCATGCAGAAAACTGTGTCAGTAAAACAATGTAAAGATCCATTAGGTGTTTTGGGGGATTTCAATACTTGAATAATTTTATGGTTCCTTGTAATCTGCAAAGGATGCTAGCGTTCTTAATCTCACTGAGGATCAGTTGCCCAGCAAAAAAACAGAAAGCAAGAGTTGAATGTTTTAAGCCAAAGGGGAATTTTCTCAAGAATTGGTGGGTAAACTAGAGACTGTTCAGATCCAGGAGTGCCAGTTGGTGATATTATGTCTAATAAGACTCTAGCATCGTTTATGCACAAGGTGTTTTTTGGTATTTGTTACCTGATGCACCCGGTTAATTAAATAAGTGCCACTTCAAACTCCTTGTTCCCCAACATGCAGGTAAAGTTACCAAGTAGCGCCTAACTCTAATAAGCAAATCTAAGTGAAATTTGCTAATGCGGGTCTCTAAAACGGGACCATTAATTGTCAGCAGGTAATCTTGCCACCAAAAACACACCTGGTGCATAACATGGAGTCCCAATTAACTGCTGACCCGCTGATCATGGGACTTGCTAGCTGTTGTGTGTTGTAGAGTTCTTTGGTCTGGATCTTATTACAACCTTGCTTAATGCAGCTTACACCGTGCTGGGAGAAACGTATAGTCGTTTTGTCTTTCGTGGATCAGTCACACTAGAGTAAAAACAGTCCTTATGATTCAAAAAAACCTGGTGGTTGCTGTGATTCCATGGAACTTTGTTGCTGTCAAAGACCAAGTGCAACTACTGGTGTCGACCAACTGGTCACCCAGAGGTTGAGTGGGTGACGCCCTCAACCTCTGGGCAACCACTTTCAACTGGAAGGCAATTGCACAGGTTGCCAAGTGGAGGCAACTTATTCGTGGTGGGAATGGGACTTAGACTGGCAAATGTTTCCAAATAATCATTGCGTATTTTGTAAGCACAGAAAGAGTCGGTCTGTGCAGATGAGTGCAACTCAACTGTGACAACTCCTTGCAATACGGGACTCGACTCATGTGGTTGCCGGTTGCTTGTATCCTGATTATATTCCTCTATTAAAAACAAGGTTGCAGAGGGCTTGCGTCGTTTTGCACAGGTAAAACCACATCCTACTCACTCTGTCTTAGTGCTCTTTTATCACCGTCTGGACTCAGTAAATTTGCTTTGAAGAGTATTACTGACTGTGAATGGTTTCCAGACCTGGTTCATTTTGTTTTCCCTAGTGTGACTTCAGCATAAACAAATAGCATAGTCTTAAGGTGTTTCTCACTGAACTGAACTGAACACGTATGTTCTATGAATAAAAAAATACTATCCACAAAAAGGAACATTAAAAAAGGATAATACTGGAGATAGTATTTAATTTACAGCAGGAGATGAGGAACATCTGATACCAAAGACAGAAGAAAAAAAATTTATGGCATTCCTTCAGCACCCACCATATTTCTGTTGCTCTTAAGAAAATATCAGTATTACTGCATTTCCTTGTAGTAGTTAATCTTGTTTCACATGTATCTTATTTATAGTTATATATGGTCAAACCGAGTACACTATTCCATATGCTAAAGACCCAAGCTTGTCAGATGTCTTCACTCAAGCTGATGACAGTGGATTAGCCTTGGTTTTCAAAAATAACAGAGCCAAGTCTTAGATTTGGGTGGGTGGCCTGGCCTGCTACCATTGAGGCATAAGGCGACGAAATGAGGTGACGTGAGAACGTTGACATGACAGAATTTTCTTTCAGGGTCAGAAAGACCAGAACGATTTTTCTTTACATCTTGTGTGTTCTGACATCCAACACCAGACAGGACCAAGAGGCAGCGCCACACCTTTTCTTATCTTAATAATACCCACAATTCCACTTTTTCTCTTGTGTAAATACTGAAAGGATGTTTTGGTAAGTTTGCTGGTTCTTTTTAGGCTCCACAGACACAGCAGCTCGTGTCACACACAGTCGTATCGGGCATACACCTCAGAGCCTCTTTCACCATCACAGGTCGAATCAGCACAGCATTGTTGACAAACAACAACTTTGGCTAAAAAATGAACTATCAAAGCTTTCACTGCATATTTAGTTATTGATGGCACCAACAAGGCATTTTACTTTAAAAAATAAAATCTTTACCCCCCTTTTGATTCTCATGTTCTCAGCCACTCTCAGCTGGCTGTACAGCATCTACTCTTAGTCTCTCATAGTATTGCACTTACTGCTCTGTGTACAACTAACATTAGTGTGTGCTTTTTAGGTATGGAAGTTAAATATTGACAAAACTATTAGACATAGAACAAATGTAAGCTTTCAACAAACTATTAAACAATGTTAGTCTGCCTGAAAAGATTTATAAATGCTTTTCATTTTCTAAATAAAACTATACACTTACTGGTCACTTCATTAGGTACACCTTGCTATTAACAGGTTGGGCCCAATTTTGCCTTCAGAGCTGACCTAATCCTTCATTGCACAGATTCAATAAGGTGGTGGAAACATTCCTCTGAGATTTTGGTTCAGACTGACATGATAGCATAGCTTTGCACAGTTACTGCAGATTTGTTGGTTGCACATCTACCATCTCCCATTGCACTGCATCCCAAAGGTGCTCAATTGGAGTGATAGCTAAACTCTAGTTTAAGATCACTTGAGCTTTGTGACATGGTTTGTTAGCCTGCTGGAAGAAGCCAGCGGAAGATTGGGACATTGGGGTCATAAAGAAATGGATATAGGAAGCAATAATTCTTTGGTTGGCCGTGGTGTTTAAAAATGGTCATTACACATTGTTTTTGCTAAATTTCTTTTGGACTTACAGACTACAACTAGCAAATACAGCTTTCAGGGTGACAACTACAGTGGAAGGTAGTCCAGGTTATTTCAAATGAACTGTCGTCCTTGTAAATGAGATGAATACAAACTGAAAAAATTGTCTGTAAGGCAGAAAATATGAGGGATGCTTGCTTTCTCAGGGCAATTTAGAGTTTATCTTACACTTTTTAAATTTACACAATATTAGAATAATTCTAGGTTACAAAAAATACATAAATGTCACAAAAAAAAGAGTTTAAAAAACCCCCAAAACATCAGCAACAAAAATAGTTTTTTCATTTTTTTTGCAAAATTATTTGGCAGTGCGCTTTCTAACATGGTGACCACTCATAGTTGTGTCATTAGTGAACTTCCATAAATCAAGTTCCTGCCCCTAAAAACATACTCAGTCAGAGGCAAACATTCAATAATGTCACGAATACAGATAGGGGTGGGTATAATGAAGAAAATACCTCACTGTCTCTGCCCTCAGTTTGCCATTCCAGTCTCTGTAAACTCCTGAAACATAAACACATGGTTGAAAAGGTCCATTAATAACGCAGCCCATTTTAAATGAAACTGCTACAGAGTGCTAATTCAAAGCACATTGTGTTACTCATTAACTCGGGGAGCTGCAGAATTAAATACAGACTGCAGCAGGTGTACGCTTCACATCAAAGTGGAGCTTCAAGTGCAGGCCTACAGAGAACAATCTAGGGGGGAAAGAGAGATTCATTTACCGTTAAACTTCTATGTCACTTCACTGGAATAAACACATAATTCTACGCGCTTGACCTCTTTTTCCTACATTGTACAACATAAAGGTCGGGACTGTAAGCCATAGATTTTTACATAGCAAGCGCCGGATTGCCTTGACCGCTTTATTTACACAAAGAGGCAACAAACTAAAGGCCGGGGAGCAATATTTACAGATCAAAGGTCAGTTTCCCCTGAGACTGAATCCTTGCATGGCTCATAATGTAGGGCATGGTTATGTGAAATAAGATGAATAACAGTACATTGCTGACCATTTAAAGTATGTTTATAGTGGGGTTTTGGCCTTGTTTGCCAGCAATTTATAGAAACCTCTTCAGCTGCCAAGTAGTCTCTCTCTCTCCTAACTAACTATGCACGGTTTTATTTTAAAAGGTTCATAGACTAAATGTTAGCAGTGCATACTTTTTGGTAGTAACAGTGCAAAGAAACAGACTTTCATGTTGAATTAACTTTTTTGCCAAGCATCCCCCAGAGTGAGGAATTTGGGTTTGGGTTCAATCATCTCTGCTGTTCTTTTCCACTTTCACTGAATGTGATCGAAGAGTGTGCCATCAAGATATTGTAAGACAAAACAGCAGACAATTGTGTTTGTGTGACTTTCTGCAGATATCCACCCAGTTAGAATCCCCAGGACTCAGCTGACAGTGATGAAAGCAAGGAAGCCACCGAATGCAAACATGGAAAAAGACCAGAACCCAATGTGCTCACTTTTTTTTGTTGCATTCAACAACTCCCGTCTATTTTAAATCAATACGAATAAACTTTATAATCCTAATGTTTGGTGAACCAGACAGTGAATATCCTCAAAACATCTAAATGTGAAGCTTCTTCTTTCAAATCCTAAGCTTTTAATTGCTGACCGTAAATGGACCATTGATCCAAATATAGTAAAATCACACCAATTTCCGACACTAATTAATAAATTAGTTTTTATATTTTATGTTGTTTTATGTACAGCAGCTGTTATGTGTTTCTGTGTAGCATGAAATAAGAAAAGCTTCTGAAAATGTGCATGTGTCAAAACTACACTTTATTAGGTACACCTTAGGTCACAGGTGTCGAACTCCAGGCCTTGAGGGCCGCTGTCCTGCAGGTTTTAGATGTGTCCTTGATCCAACACAGCTGATTTAGATGGCTAAATTACCTCCTCAACATGTCTTTAAGTTCTCCAGAGGCCTGGTAGTGAAGTGATCACTTGATTCAAGTGTGTTGACCCAGGGTGAGATCTAAAACCTGCAGGACACCGGCCCTCGAGGCCTGGAGTTCGACACCCCTGCCTTAGGTAGTACCAGGTTGGACCCCCTTTTGAGATCTGGTGGAGGGCATTTGAGGTTTTTGACCTGGCATGCATCCTGCAGGAACGAGCCATCAAAAATGATATACAGTGTGGTCTTCTGCTGTTGTAGCTCATCCGATTCAAGGTTCAATATGTTGTTCATTCCAAGATGTTCTTCTGCATACCTTGGCTGCAATGAGTAGTTAATTTAGCTACTGCTGCCTTCCTATCAGCTCAAAGCAGAATCTCCTCTGACCTCTGGCATCAGCTATGCATTTTCACCCAGAAAGAGAACTGAATGGTCTTTTTCAGACCATTCTGTATAAACCCTTGAGATGATTTTGTGGGGAAATCCTAGCAAATCAGCAGTTTCGGAAATACTCGGACCAGACTGCCTATCACCGACTACCATGTCACACTTAAAGTCACTTAAAAACACCTTTCTTCCCAAATCTGATGCTTGGACAAATTTCAAGAAGTCATCTTGACTATGTCTATATGCATACATACATTACTGCAGTTGCTGCAGTACGATTGACTGATTAGATTTGCGATAACAAAGAGATGAACAGGTGTACCTATTGAAGCAGCAGGTGTTAGTTGCAATATAGGATAACTCTAATAGATGGTAAATTACAATCCCAAGCTCACAGTCTGTCTGTGCAATGCAACCTTGATGCATCCTGCAAATGTTTAAATACTCCCCATTATTTTCATTACTATCGTGTCTGTGTTAGCCAAGTGCGTTATTCATGACATCTCTTAAAAAATATACCAAATTTAGCAAAAAACTGACAGATACTTTAAATAAAGACACATTTTTCTGTTTTTAACGTGTCACTCTACACAATGTTCTTTATATTTTACACTAACTCTAACAGTAGCTTAAGCTATCCGAAATCTAAATACCACTAAGAACATGGTATAGCGTTAAGTCCAAAAGGTCACAAAATAAATAGATACAACAAAGTAGAAAAATAGGTTTAGACCATGTTAGCTATTTACTTATACATCCAAGGTCATAATAATGGGATCAGTGGAGGGCTTTAATCACCTTAAAAAAGTACAGTGGCAGCCCATGAAGAGGCACAGTCTCTAGGGGATTTTGGATTCACGGGAGACTACATTTAGAGATGAGGACTTGTGCCAGGGAGCTGGGTTGGCAGAGAGAAACGTGACCTTTTTTCCTACAAGTCTGTACAGAAAGGAAAAGGACTGACTTAACTGCTTGTTTGCACACCATTGCAACCTATAGACAAAGGCAGTAATACAAAGGAAAAAGGCAGTTTAACAACAGAGGCAGTAAAACCAATTGAAGGCTTTACATTTAGAGAAAGTTCATCTGAAAAAAATTATTAAGTTTGATTGAAATCCTCTCCTCATTAAAGAAAAGTTTTCCTTTCTCGCAGATCAGTGCCAAAATAAGCCTGAATTAATCAAGCCTGCTGCAGTCCTAAAGGTCCCCGTTATCATTGCACTTATGCCCAGAACCTGCAGACTAATTAAAGGGAGACATCAGGTAAAAAGAGTTCATATAAGTTATGTATGTTGCTAGATTTGGTATAGCCCACTTCAGGTATGCATTCAGAGCTATTTCTGTCAGGGTTAAGACATCGACACCACCACAAAGATCTAACATTAGATGTGCTTTAAAAAAAATGGATTAAATAAAGGTAAAAAGTGCTTATCCAGCTATAGATTCTGTATATTTTACAAACACCATTGCAGAAGCTCCTCTTGCTATCCAGAGACAATGAGGTTTCCAAGATTTGCTTCCTCCGATCGGTCAGACCTGCAGGGTGTAGGTGATCCTTTTAGCTGACTCCAGCTTAAATTTATACAAGCATGTGGATCTCATTGTACTCATCTCGTCCGTCTTCATCAAAGTTGGGCGAATCTTCATCACAATCCAGCTGCAAAGGGTTGAAATACCTTATTATTTTTAAATGTTCATTCAGGACAAATTAAGCATAGTTTAGCGCTGCCAATTAAAACAATGCTGTGGAATAAATTAGCACACTGACACCATCATTGTTTATTCATAATTTAAATACAGCATGCATTTTGACTGAGCAGTACTCTGTTAATTATACACAGCAATTAGTGCCTCTAAGATCAACGCCTAAAAAAAATAGGCTGCTTTTCGCGAGCTAAGGCTTTAGCACAGAGCCCAAGAGACCAGCCGGCAACCATCTGCCAGTCATGTATTCCCTGACCACTTGGCAAGTGGTTGCTGAAGGTGGATGGCATTTGCTGCCGCTAGGTACTCTGCTAGCAATGGTGAAATTAGGAAAAGTGTGACACAAACTGTTTTCCGGAAACAGAAAACATTAACCTTTAAAATAAAAGCTGCATCTTTTGATAATTGTTGGCTGCGGTGGCGAGGCACAACTTTTAATCTGAAGGTTTCTGGTTTGCGTATAACTTTTTCAGGGTTTACCACTGCTCAGCTATTATTGACTTTTTTAGCGAGTTCAAATAGCAACTGGCAGCAACTTAACCTAAATTAAACACAAAGACAGAAACAGATGGAAAAAGCTAGCCTGACTGTTTAAAAGTCACCAAATCTTGAACGAGCAGACTACAGTGATGTCTATCTAATTTTCTGTGTTAATCTGCATTAGCCAATTTAGCATCACAGGTGCAGGCTTTCAAATTATGTTTAACATATAGACAAAAGTAAGAAATTTTTTAAAACGTCTGCTTTAAAAAAATATAAAATTATTTTTCTTTACATACAGTTTAGAACTGAGTTATAGCTCGTTATTGGAAAATGTGGTAACAAGAAGAACATTCGTGAAACAATTACAATCCCCAGTTCAAAAAAAAAAATGCTGTAATGGGAATGCTGTAATTTTAACTACATAGAGAATGCAATGATTTGCATATCTCAAACCCATATTTTGTGAACTATAGAACACTAAGAAAAAATACAAATGTTTAAATTGAGACAATGTACCATTTCAAGGTCATACGGTCATTTTGAGTTTGATGGCAGCAACATATCTCGAGAAAGTTGGGACAGGTACATGTTTACCACTTTGTAGCGGCTCATCATCTTTTTACATCAGTCTGTAAATGAACTCAGGAGAGCAGATGCTGGACTTTTGGGAAAGGAATGTTGTCTCATTCTTGTCTGATAGAGGATTCTAGCTGCTTAACAGTCCTGGGCCTGCTTTGTTGTATTTTTTATCATGTCCCAAATGTTTCAAAAAGGTCTTGTAAAGGTATGAAGCATGCACTTTAGCATTGTCTTGCTGAAATATGCAAGGCCTTCTCAAAGACATTGTCTGGATGGTAGTGTAGTTGCTCTAAAAGTTGTATATACTCTATGGTGACTTTCCAGATGTGCAAACTAAGGCACTCATACGCCCTAGAATCGGAAATGCAGGCTTTTGAACCAATAACAAGCCAGAGGTTCCCTCTCCACTTTAGTTCAGAGGATGCAGCGTCTATGTTGTCCAAAAAGAATTTCAAATCTTGATTTGTCTGACCACAGAACAGTTTCCCACTTTGCCTCAGTCCATTTTAAATGAGCCTTGGCCCAGAGAAGCGTGTTTCTGGATCATGTTTGCTTATGGCTTCACAATTTTACACTGAGGAATATTATTCTGAGAGTGTTCCACAATTCCCTTTTATCCAGTCATGTAACCGACCAGTTGCCAGTTAACCTAATTACTTGCAAAATGTTCCTCCAGCTGTTTCTTTTTAGTGCCACTTACTTTCCCAGTTTTTTGTTGCCTTTGTCCCATTGTTTTTGAGATGTGTCAGATTCAGACTGAGCTACTATTTTTCTGGAAGCAAGAAAATGTATGACATGTAAACCTTTGATATGTTTTTTTTTTCCCATGTGAAGAAAATATGGATTTATTTATGAGATCTGCAGATCACTGCATTCTGTTTTTATTAACATTTTACAAACTTTTCCACTTTTTGGGGATTTAGGTTATATTTTATGGAATTATTGTAGAAAATCATTGATGGTTTGTGTCAATCTTGACTAGCAAAGGTCCAAATCATGTACTTAGTAGTTTTCTTTTTTGTTTTTTTTTTTAATTTGCATTTCCCATACATGGATCATTAGAAGTTTTCCAGGAATGACTTTCCCTCAGGTTCACATTATTTCATCCACTAATGTGAACATGAGACAAACCAGAGCTACAAGGCCATTTTTCTCCTTTGACTTTCTTTGGTTTACCAATTGTCTATAGTGCAGAAAAGCAAAGCAAAGAATGTGAAACAGGAACATTTATTATGGAGTTTATACAAGGGTGAAGGTTCGAGGGAGTGGAGGATTTGACGTCAAGGAGGTTCAGCTTTGGCAATTATCAACTTTTGCCGGTCTTTTAGGTGGTTTGGGGCAATTCTGCAGTGCAGAGGGTTCATGAGAACACATGAACGGTGGTCATGTTAAGAATAAGCTTATTTTCTTGCTCTTAAAAAGTTGACATTTAGGAAATGCAAGGTTTTAATTTGACAGTGATGACGTGTATGGGTTTAGGTGGATCTGTCCAAGAAAACATGAAACCCAAAAGCAAAAAGCAATATTTGCGTATGTCTTGAAATTATTTGGATGAGAAAGCTGTCCATGATCACGGGGGCAAAAATAATCATCAGAAGTGTCAGGGGTCAAGTTTGTTTCAAGCCCTGCAAGTCAGTATTAGACTGATATAAAAACATGCCAACCTCCGCTGAATTATTTGTCGTATACAGTAAGTATCTCGAGGCTATGTGGGATCGGATGATTGTGGCAAACATTCTCGGAAAGCCTCTGCTACCTAAACCTACCGCCTGGAGCTCACGCTCCTCGAAGATCCTGGAGAGGATGAGGCGTCGCAGCGGCACCGTCATGATGAGGACGAAGGGGAACGCCAGGGAGGCCGCAGTAGACTTCACTACCCACAGAGCCACGATGCATGCCAGCTGGGTGATGGTAAACATGTTCATGCGCCATGTCTTCACCTGAAGAAACACACACATATTGGTCAGAGGGTTAGAAACCAGGAAATTACAGCACAGACAGACATATCCAGAGATGCACAAATCACATTTTTGGCTCCATCTAGTGGAAAATTCTGCATCTAATCATATGATTTAAACATGCATGAGGGTTAGATTTCCTGTCTCTCTTTTTTTAAGAAATTCACTCGGGAAAAATTTGAATTACAAAGCTATTAAGACTGGATTTTAAGACATGGGAATGGATGTAATTTATTTACATTCTCATAGGCTTTATTGCAAGTTATCACGATAAGCAGCTGCAAAGTTGCTCTGGCTGTGAATGGGAGACCTGTTAGCAGGGAGTGTTCCCTACATAACAAGATCTAAGCGTTTCTACGTGAGAGAGAGAGCAAGCATCTGCGCACTTGAGGACGTGCTCTTTAAGTTTTGGTAAGACATGAAATACAATCCTACTATGTCGTCCCATGGAGAGTGTGTGTTTTCACGCACTGCTGCTGTGTGTACATAAAGATCCCACTACATCCCAGTTATAACTGTTTTTTAACATCTAGGTTGCTGCACATGTAAACACAGCAACTTTAGAAAAAGAGGTTGTGTTTTTGAGTTGAAGGTGTTAAGTTGGTTTGGAGTGACGAGGATGGAGAAGATTAGCTGACCTGACAATATCGGAGCTTTGCTCCATGTAATTTTCCAGATATATCACATGTTGATGTACGAGTTATTTTTTTTATTACACAAACCTCTGGATGTATTCTGTGACCATGGCAGAGAGATAACCCGTCTCTATAAAGATGCAGGCTACTGTCACATTGCCTGTGCTGTTCGACCGCTTAACAAAAGTAATGAAACTCATAAAGACAGCCTGGCTGTGTGCGCCTTAATTTATTTTAAATTTCAGCAACAATATATTGGGCAAAGGATGTTGAAGACGGAGCTTCATCCAGAGGTTCATGGATGTAGTGAAGGAGGACATGCAGAGGGCTGGTGTGACAGAGGAGGATGTGTCTTCTTATAGAAGACTCTCTCGAATATTGCAGGATTTTTACCTTTTAATATAAAGCATTTTGAGGCAATGCTATAGTCAGCTGATGCAATATAAATACTGAATGAGTTACGGGAGGCAAAATTTACAAGGTTTTAGAATACAGCCCAACACGACATGAAGTAACGCTAAGACATTTTTTAAGAGTCTCGCTTTTATTTTTATCTTTTCTGATTTTTTTTTTTTTGCTTTAATATTTTAATTAGATGTTTTAAATTACAGATGTAAATGGTTTGACACCAGTAATACAAAGAGTAGATAAAACTATGCTATAGTCTGACAGCTGCAGGTGAAATAAGAGGAATGGATGAATTAGTAACCAGATGGCCAGAAAATGAACTGTGCTTTTCCCTAAACTGTTGACGTTACTCTCAGATTGGGGTCCAAACTCCAGGAAAAAACTCTTTCGAAACCGGGACTTTAAACCAGAAATCTGGTGTGCATGGTTTTTATTGGGATTTGTCATTATCCACTGTGACGTTGTATTATGTCTCTGACTCTCAGCATCTGAGGCTCTCTGTTTTTCTTTTGATTTAACTCAAACGCTGAGGACGGACGTCATTTTGGTCCCGCAGTTGCTGCTCCGCTGGCTTTGGTTTCTCCATGTTACCACTTATAATAGAGCAGAGGGCATGTAAACATTGCTATTGCGTGTGCTACCTTGGTGACGTAGATGTGGTCCGGGTGGTGCTTGGCAGGCGTGACCATAAGCGTTATGCGTTCGTACAGCTGGATGCCCGTCAGAGAGGTGACCCCCATGTACAGGAAGATCCCGAAGAGCACAGCCAGAGGGATGAGGCGGAGAATATCTGTCATCACTATGGACATACCTGATGGGCAAACAGGGATTTAAAGGGGGACTTTTAACATGATTTTACTGCATGCGTGCACAATAACTGGCAACTGTGGAGAAAATTATTCATTCAACAAGGGAACGGGAACGGCCCTTAAAAACAAACACGCTGTCGTGCCTTTTATTAGAAACACACTCCCTCTTCAGATGCCTTGGTTAAGATACTCTCAGGGCTAATCCAAACAGTCTTCTTCCTAATCCAAACAGCATTTCACTCAAACAAAAGCTCAACAATCATGATGACTCACCACGCCTGCATACCCAAACTGGATCAAACTAGACTTAAGATTGCTTCGGGAACCCTACCTTAATTGAAACAAGACTTTCAGTCGGCAAAACGCAATGAGTCAGTGGATGAAAAACAATGCTGTAATGTCAGGCAGTGCATTTTCACTTTCACAAAATTTTCTTGTTGTAGAACGGCTGTCTCGGCTCATTTTGAAGACAAACAGAATGAAAAATTGTTGGGCTGAGTCAACCTTCATGAATGTCTAGACATGCAGGAGCTACAGAGCTGCCACTCTTCCAGCTCGTGTTTATTTACCTAGAAATAGCCACTGGTTCAGATTCTTGTTTTATTCCATCTTGAATATTGATCTGATGTAAATTCTGATCCTTACACTTTCCTTACATAGAATGATAAGAAGTATAATTCTGCCAGCCGATTACACTGTCTCCCCTTTTCAATTAATTTTAACTAGATTAAATATTTTAATTTCTACGTTAATTTTGGCAAACTCTTAGAAAACAACAGACTTTTCTGTAATTGGACAAAATAATTGCATTTATTTTGACTTTGGAATTAATGTTGCTATACTTACTATGGCAGCAGCCACACAGTGTATATGCAATCATGTGAAAATGGACATTTTCACAGACTCTGTGCAAACCCCTGAAAGACCAAGTGCACCCCATTCAGTATCTTGTAGAGCCATCTTAACATTAAGTAACTTGAAGTAATCTTTTTCTGTCTTATTTTAGAAGAACTTTAGGGTTAATGTAGCTCATTAGGTATAGCATCAACTATTTGAGGATTAATTTATGCACAGTTCTCCTTCCTTAATCTTTTCCTTTTGTTGATTTACTGCTATAATTTGGATCATTGTCCTGTTGCAAGACCCAATTTCAGCCAACCTTTAGTTTGGCTTTTGCCACATGTGGCACAGTGCATTATTACCAAACATTATGACTCCACTTTAGTCTCATATGTCCAAAGCACATTGTTCCAGAAGTGCTGTGGTTTGTTCAGATGCAAACTTTGCAAAGCTAAGCACACTATGTTCTTTCTTTTTACAGAGAAGAGGCTTTCTCCTAGCAACCCTTTCCAAACAAGCCATACTTGTTCAGTTTTTCTGATTGTGTTGTCATGCACTTTAATATTTATTCATTTATTTATTTATTTATTCATGCTAATTGAGACCTGTAGAGTCTGATATATAGCTTTTGGGTTTTCTAACAGTGTCTCTGTGCACTGAAAAATCGGAGATCTGGCTGAATATGCTGGTCCGTCCACTCCTGGGGAAAATGTGGCATTGTAGTAACACATCCGAATGCTCCAGACCAGAAAACTGACGGACTACTGCTTTTATAGAAGTGTCCAAACTTGCTAAAGATCAGTTAGTCAAGTGCATTTGATTAGCAGCATCTGGCTACTACTTATCCTCTTAACTCCTCCGAAAGAAGTAATGGTTTAATTCGTTTTTCACAGGACTGCACAGATTCCTTAAAAAACGTTCTTTTCATTTGACTCGGCCCCTGGCTTCACTTTCAGGCATTGAGGCTCCATTCTTGTGTTAAAGCACCTTAAAACTGCATTCCTTTTAATGGCCTGCAGTGGGGAGAACATACCCCAATTCCTCAGCAATTAGGACCTTTTCCCAATGAGGTTATGGACTTAATTGATTATTTGAAATCTTACATAACAGAGTATGATACACATTTTTTAAAAAAAGAGAAATCGCAGTCAAAGTGCTGTAGACGTTCTAAACAACCATCTGTTTAGAAAGTCTGCAAATTGCAGTTTTCTTGAAAATACAAAGCAAAGAAATTTTAATAGATTTCTTAGAAATGTATTCTTTAAAAATAAATATACATAAATACAATGTATGCATATCTGAAACAACAGGCTTGATGTCAGGCCTGGCTAACTACAGTTGCTAAGCTATGATTGAAAAAGGAAGGGGTTGTGCTGCATAGTCGTTTGGTACTCCCCACTCCCATCCTTGCCTCTCCTCTTACCAACAAGCACAGCCACAAGAAGTCCGGTGAGCCTCTGCTCTTTCACCTCCTGGATCATGGGCTTTTCTCCAGGAGCCGTGGCCTTGCTCATCACTGTGAGCGCGTTAACATGAGTGACAGAGCGCACAGTGGCTGCCGTGAGCCACGGCAAGCCAAAAAGGGGGCAGAGGGCACCCAGGATGACAATGAGCAGGAGATCCAGATGGAAGCCGGAGCCTTTAACCAGCCGACGCTCCTTCTTACTGACTATCAACCTAATGTGTTGGAGGAACAAGACGAAAACAATAAAATGTTTATTTTAGTAAACATATTTCATGCACATGTACAGAATTCTTTGCAACTGTATAGAATCATGGCGTGTGAACGTACGAAGTGATTTGAGTTTCCATGAAAATAAGAATGAACACAAGCAGGGCAGGAACAACAGACGCCCCCATCATCCAAGTGGGGAAGGGCTTCTTGTCACCAAAGGGGCTGATAAACCAACCTCTCTTATCAGGAGACGTGACAGAAAAACCTGATGGCACATTGAGTTTCTAAAAGAGAGAAAAAAAAATCTGTTTTTAATACTGAACAGAAAAATGTTTAAGAGCTTTTGAAAAATGTCTGCACTTGCTGTGCAGGATTTCTGTGATTAGCAGTGACGCTACCTGTGTGTAAGTGTCAGTAATGGCGTAATCCACCAGTACTGAAACTAAGATTGAGATCGGGATGCCAAAGTCACCGATAATCCTTCTGGCCTGGGGATATCAAGAAACCAAACATTAAATTAAAAGTGAAAATACATCCCAGATCTCATAGAGAGAAACATTACTAAGTCAAAGATTATGAAGAAAGAAGTCATGTAGAAGGGAACAACTTACTGTTGAGTGGAAAAATGCTGATTTGAATTGCTTTTCATATGAATGAGTATAAATTATATGACTGATCTGCTCTTTTTTCATCAAAACAAACCACTTTAGCTATAAAGACTATCAAGACTAGCCAGCAGCAGTTTGTCTGTAAAACAGAAGCTTAAAAACGTATTTGCATCACTGAATAACTGCACATAACCGTGTCAGTGCAGAGACAAAGATATTTACAATCTGAAATCACACAGCTGAATAAAAATCCACAGCCTACCTGCCTCGTCTCATCTTAAGCTACAGTTTACCTTCAAATATAAACTGTGAAGTCTTGATACATGCTCTGTCATCCAGGTACAGAAATGCCAGAAATGTTCATCTGGAACAAGTGAGTTATTCAGTCTTAGCTTACTGCAGGTTTTCCCAAACTTATAAATGGTACAGTTGCATAACAGTCATTATGCATTCAACTGCGAATGAAGAATACATTTGTATGAGTGACAAAACATTTCTGTCCAGATGGACAGAATCAACCTTCTGACATAAACGCTGAAGTTTTCCACCACTAGGAGTGCTAAAGAGCAATGTTTCATATATGGGCCTTGTTCTTTCACAGCATGTCACACATCCCAGCTGAGGTTTGGACACCTTTCCACAATATTTAGTGGTAACAGCATGCAGAAAAGCCACAGAGGATGAAGTTTAAACAATACCGTTTTTAACATATACAGCAAAATATGTATTTATTTAGAAAGTAAATGAAAATTAAATTTCAAGAAGATGTTTCACCTCTCATTCAAGAGGTGTCTTCACTTCTAAAACCAAATGGAAGAGAGTTCCAGAGAGGTATTTAAACCTTAGTGAGGGTTGCTGACCTCACCTGAGCCTCACCTGTGAAAAAGGGTGTGGGTCCTTAACATCACCAGAGGTTTCGGCTGAAACCACTGTGACACCTTCCCTCATCCTATCATGAGCACTGTACTTTAGACCCAGCTGCAGCTTCAGACAAATACTGGTTTATCTCAAGGACAAAAGCTCCCAAACACAAGATAACAACACAGTGCATGCTGTGCAGAGCAGCACTGTACTGTTCACCCTCACCTAAAGGGTAAAGGTCACTCTTTCGACAATGTCAATGTTCATTTTGGACCGAGAAGAAAGCGGGCTTGACAGGAGAGTAAAAGAAGCCATCTATGTGCCCTGTGTACAGCCGTAATTAAACAGATGCGGTGGGTTATGACACCAACTGTCAGCCACCTACAATGCAGTCTTGAGATCTCTTCCCAAGCGCCTCAACCCCCACTCACAACACGTGCCAGCTGACCTTAATAGATCATATGATAGGGTGAGGGCAAGGTTTCGCAGTGGTTTCACCCCTGTCTCCACGAAACATAAAGAAGTCCATTCACTTTAGACTTAGACTAGATGTCATAAAAATGCTCTATAGAGTTCATTTATATTCTCATGAGAAGTATGATATGATTTGTTTGAAAGGGTTAAAGGAAGTTTATTACCTTGCCACCTAAAAACCGGCTGTTTCGAAACTTCCTGAGAAAGAATGCAACAAAGAAAGTGCCCATCATGAGCACCAGAGAAAGAAGAGCAGTGTTAGGCTGGTTGTATATGGGACCATCAAAATTTTGAGACCCACTGGCGTCAGTGGGATACACTGTCATCAGTGGATGTTCCTTAAAAACCTGGAAGAAAAAAAAAAAAAAGAGTAAATCTATACAGTGTGACTGATTTTATTAGCGTTTGCAGGGCTGATTACTGTTTAAATTCTTACCTTGATGAGCTTAGAGAAAGTTTCATAGATGAAGATGAGGGAGATGAGGAAAGCGAAAATCTCCTGTGTAAAAGGTGAGATGTAGCGGACAAGGAAGCTACCCTCTGCTGCCACAATCACCAGGACGATGAAGATGAGCCAGAAGCCGATCCACACTCGACCAGTCAGGTACTCAAAGTTGTAGACCTGACAAAACTGAGTGAGAGGACAGATTAATCACCTGACAAGAGAAAAAGTACATGGGATGATATGAAGTGGGAGGCTTTGTGTTGTCATTGTCTTGTTAAAAGTCACCTTATAGAAGGCCTCTTCAAACACCAGTAAGGGTCCAGAGAAGCCAGTGATGAGAAGGGGTTGTCCAGCAAGCAGTGAGAATATAACTCCGATAGTTGCAGTGGAAACAATGAGTTCAGTCACTCCCATCATGCCTTCTGTTTTCTCTCCTGTATGCAGAAGTAGCCACACAGAGATAGACAAATTAGATGCAGTACATCAAAGAATATGGACTATATCTTTTAAGTAAGTTTTGATTACCCAGGAGGCCTCCAAAGGTAATAGTGGGTGACAGTGCGGCAAAATAGATGAAGATGACAGCAGCAATGCACTGCATGTCCAGGGCGTCTTTTAAGTCGCTCGCATATTGCGGGTAACGCCTGCGGATGTCGTGAATCAAACCTCCAAACGGCATTCCTGAGCGCTTTAATGGATCCACTTCCTGTTCTCCCTCCTCCTCCTCCTCAGGACTCAACTCTGTGGGCATTCATACAGGCATCACAACATGAACAAACTAATCCATCCATGGGTAAAAACAATAAACCACTGCAGTTCTTCAACTGGCCACTTGACGTTACCTCCAAAAGGGAGTCATTTCTTTTTGACCCTCATTTTAAAATGTCCAGCTTTATAGTAGAAAGAAACGTCTCCTTTATAACAGCTGTACAGGGGGTAAATTATGTGCTTTATCTTCCATGCTTAAATTTTATTGCTGCTTTTGTTTTTGCAAATATTAGTTCATTACTTCTGTGACTGACCAGTGGGTGCTAAAATACGTAGCGATTGATGCTAGCTGTTTATGAGGCGTCACCTCTGCTAGTTACTGATGTGGACCTTTTGACCATATTTATGCTGCCGGTTGCTTTTGGAAAAGGCCATCCAAGAAGTCCAGCTTTTGTAAGCAAATTTCTAGTATTTTATTTGGTTGTTAATTAGCTTGTATTGGTTTCTGTCTATATAGTCTATATGCACATTCCTTGCTAACAAAGCTTTTTAGCATTTGGCTGATAACTTAACGATTCATTTGTTCTTCCAAATCTAATAATTTCTTCCTCCAAAAAAACAAGGTAGTGAATGAGTTTTATATTTTTTCTATTTACAATAGATTCTATGAAAACATCAGAACTTACAGAAGAGAACAGACATGAGAATAAATTAGACACATTTCTTCTGTTGATAGTCTCTGTTGATTTGAGCCCTAATACACAAGTCTCAAGTGTCCAGGTGTCTAGTTGTTCCCTGAAGTTTTCCAGCCTTTTCTGAACCAGTGCTGACTGGAACAATTCAAGTACATTATTTTTTACCTTTGATTTCTGACTCTACTCCAATTAAGGAGCTGTGCTTCTTGAGCTCTCTTTCCTTTCTCTTCCGCAGCATCTGCTTCTGGAAGTCAGCCACTGTCTTCAGGAGGTCTTTTCCCTCCACGTCTGATGGTGGAATCACGATGCTATAGTCCAGGAATTCATTGATGCCATTCAGGAGGTCTTGTCTGTCATCAGCAAAGTAGGCAACCTCATGGAAGTTCTAATCCAGAACATAAGTGGATGGCCGTGACAGAAAAAGCAGGATAATTAGAAATCTGTGTGACTTGTCCAATTTTAATCCCCACTTTCTATCACTGGAAAGATATTATAGGATTCAAAACTATTTTGGTTTAGCAGATTATCATTATTAGTAAAAAAATTACACACCTTAGAGCCTTAGAATGAGATTTGGAGGCTACCTTGTCTGACATGAGAGTGGAGAAAGAACGTCCAATTTCATGATAGTCCATGTTGGACTGACTGGGACCGAGAAGGACGAAAATAAATCGAACAGGGACGGGAACCTCAAGCACCGACTCCAGAAGGACTGCCTCGCTCAGCCTGACAAAGGCCATAGCCGGCTGCTCCAGAAATTCAACACAACCTTACAGAAAAGGACAAAATAAAGAAATGAAAAACCTGCTTACTGATTTGATGTACTTCACAAGAAAAATATTCAGAGTGGCAGTTTGTGAGGCACAGCCGAATCAAGAAATTAGCATTATTCTCCCAGTGGTTTATAAAAACAGAGAAGAAAAACTCTGTCCCAAAGCTTACCAACTAAAACAATGACCGCCTCAGCGTCTTTGGGAATCTTGGCGAGAAGTTTCATAGATCTGGCTGTGGCTGGATGAGTCTCCGGCAGAGGGTGGAGAGATTTCTTGGAGGAAGAACAGTACAAAGATTACCCACATTACTGGCTAGCCAGGGTGATGTGATATAACACAGAACTGCGCTAATAATGTGAAATTATTCTTACATTTGTGGGAACGTAGGTATCAACAGTCACATCTCATTTCAAACCATTTTTTATGCCTGAAAAATATTTTTTAATAAGCTGGTTTAAATTTGCCAACATTTTAAGCTGAGGGGGAACACGTTTTCACAGCTAATATATCAAGATGCTTTAACCAGAAGCACCTGTACGCCGACTAAGAACTTAACTCAACACATGTGGCGCAGGGAGGCCTGCGTTCTCCGACTTCAAGAACTACTTACATGACCTCTGACCTTGTTAAGAAGCGTCTCAAAGGCCAAAGTGAGAGCCACGGGCCTCACATCAGGAATTTTGTGTAACCACGTTCAAAATCTGTGCTCACTGTGTGCTTCTTAGAACTTAATGCAAACCATAAACTAAAACAAGACAGCTCAGCGTTCCTTTAATCTCCGTCCACTTAGATAGCTGAGTCCAATTACCCCGGTGGGATCTTGTCAGAGCTACTTAATCACTCACTTTGGCTTTGGTAGAGACAATCTAACGCGCTGTCTGCCTGCACTGTTTCAATGACGTCACATTGTTTCATTGCCGAGACCCCATGTTTCTCAGATCTCTGTCAGGAGCCTCTTAAAAATCAAATGAGCTGTGTAAATGACGTTAACTACAGAGACACTGACAAATGTGTAACGCATTGAAAAGAGAGAGAAGAGAAAACTTACAAACAGGCTAACAAAAACGTCTTGTTTGGGATCGTACACGGGTCCTTTGTGTTCGTGGTGCTCATCGTGCTCTTCGGACACCAATGGCTGGTTGGTGTCGTGGACGTGGTTGTGGTTGTAGCTGCCATGAAGACTGCTGGATGAGTGGTGGCGATGAAAACGATTTTTGTGATCGCTTAGATGGCTGCAAAAAAAATAAAATATATATATATATATATGCTATGCCTGCAATATGAGTGCAGTGACACTTTCACTAAACTGCAAAAAATGTTAATGTGATTAAAGTTAACATCACAATATTAAACAGCAATGAGCATCATGGAGGCTTTTGCAAATTAGCAGAACGCACAAAAGCACAGCCAAGGCTGTGAAGGAGATTAGGGTCACAGCAAGAGAGCAGATCCTAACGATGATATAAGCAACCAATACCTGTCCACTCATTTCATTTGAATCCCAAAAGTCAATCTCATGTGAGAGCCAAAAAAGGGCTAAAAGATCATCAAAGTTATCAAATTGTTATATACATCTCATTTCGAAATGCCAGTTGCAGTTGTTATCTCATCCATAGATATGGCCAGCAACTGCCATCCTATACTGTCTGCAAGGAAAAGCCTGCACAGTGATAGAAAACTGCAGGCTGGACATTGAGATGGGGATTTCAGGTCCTATCTCCAACACTTGAACCTATGCACACTCATACTTGTGGTGGTACAAAATAGACTACTGGTGTAACATTTCAATGCCTAAATCTAACCAGACAGTGTATGAAAACAAAAGTCAGTGAGTAAAAGTGAAAGGCCAAGAAAGTTACCTTCAAAAGGAGGTGGTCGAACTCGAGATGAAGATTATGGGATTATGCTACCAACAACTCCCCCAACTGTGCTTACTTTTGTTGCTGCTTTAGAACGGACACACGCTTCTGTCAATGAGGCGGCACCTCCAAAATTAAATGAAGTGTTAACTGCCCGAGCCTGCTCGTAGCTGGAGACAGCCAAGAACTGGTGATACCAAGTGATAAGGGTCATTCAGGGGAATAAGATCAATGGAAATAGTCTGAATCAAATTTGGTGCAAGTCCAGTCTTGTAAATGTCAACATTTTTCCCCGGCTGAAGTCCATGACATTAATAAATACCTACGTGAACTTTCACAAGACCTGAAATTCCAGTGGGTGCTTCTGCAAGCACTTTTTCAAAGGTAAAAATCAGAAATATAATCTTACCTCAAAGCCTCCAGAAGGTGCAGCTGCTTTTACTATTATTTAATAACTACTGTTTTCAAGGCCAAAAATATCAATGCTCAATTGCCTAATGCTAAGGACAGCTTAATCATTTTTAAGTGGGCTGCAGAATTACCTGGATTTTAGAAATGCTCAAAACAGCTGTGCTTCTTATTCACCTAATCCATCTTTTGTTCATTTAATGTGTTGACCATCTTTACCTCATGTGGCTGCAGTGGAGGTCATAAATCTTAGAAAAGTCATCAGCAAAATCCTTCCAAATTTAAACCGCTTTGCAACTAATCAGAAAGCGGTTTCAGGAAAATCCGAGTTGACACATTAACGTGATATTTGCATTACGGTATCAAGAAAACAGCCAGAGACTGACCTTTGTAGCCCTTATTTTCTCTGCTTTCTTTGCGTGTGATGTTAAGCACATTTCACCCAACTTAAAGACGAGTTTTTAAGCATGTCAAACTGGCCAAGTTTCACTACATCACTGTTCAGTCCACTGGTGACATCACCTCACTCATTAGGCCCACATGGTCCAATAAGACTGCGCTCAAATTGGAAGAGACAACGCCCCAAGACAAAAGAACGAAGTGTGACACTGAAGTCAATTGCACACAAAACGTTTCCAAAGGATCCTTAAAGTGGTCTGAGTAAGCGATGAGCTAAATCCTAGCAGCACTTCAGTGTGATTTTATTCCACGTCATAAATCTGATCTTTTAGCCTAGCGATGACTCTAATGACGGAGTGTTCTTTTCCCTGTGGAACCAGCCAGTGACATGCTGGGAATTTATGTGAAAAGGCAGCGAAATGTGGAACGAATGCTAAGAACGTCCACTGGCCTGCTTCTTCTGAGTGCATCTGCTGTGGCACTTTGTGAGCATGTGTGCAAAATATGTAAAAAAAAAGAACTGTAAATGTTGCCACGGTTAAATATTTTATTTTTCGCTGTAATCCATGGGTCTAACTAAGGTCACCACACCATTATCCAGGAGAGATTCTTCTTCTTCAAATCCAGGCTGTACCATTCTGCCTTAAAAAAAAGGGGGAACCTGGCAGGACTGAGGTTCTATGCTGTCAGGACAAAAAGGGACATTCTGAGCTCCTTGTAAAGTATAACAATAACAGGCGTGAGGGAAAATTCAACACCAGTTGACAAAACTGTCTCACTCCAAGTTCAAAAGTTGTTCTGGAACGCGCTTGTCTTCCTTATCTTATTTTCTATACTACTTCCACCTAAGTACAAAAGCATCATTTTAGAAAAGCAAAAGTCACAGGAGCTCTTGAGTTAAATATCATAAGCTGCAGAACAGGATTTAGATTTGTTTCTATTAATATTAATTGGAGGCTTTGTGAGTAAGATGGCAACATTGTATGTACTTCTGACAGGCAGGGCTCGTCTTTCCTCTGGTAATTTAGCCAACATTTACTCGACTTGTTTCCATTCTTTAGTTATGTAACTGTAAAATGTAATTCGCTGTGTTATAGAGTGCTATTCGATTGGCCACGTGTATCACAGTTTAGCTGTCGTGTCAATGCCCGGGCAGATCAGTGAGTGGCAATATCAGGGAGCACTGGAGTCACAGTTACATGCTTTTATTTGTTTGACTTGGGTACAGGATGTAAGTAACTATATCCTCACGTGTTTTGTGAATAGCTAGTTAAATATTACTTTTTTGAATTCGGATTATGACAACTAAAAGCACGTTCTAGTGTCCTATGATTACCACCACCTTCCCATGTCTACTGATATACACTTCCGCTGGTTTATCAGCATCACACCCAATAATTTCCAACAACACCATCGATCCAGCAGTGGCAGGCTTAGACTTACTAATGCAGAAAAAAGCAAAGCGCTGAAAACTCCTCGGCTCAAATAACAGCTGAGCCAGCTAGAAAGAAACAGGAAACATTTGAAATGAAAACACATAGTTTTTTAGGAAAAAAGTAAGCCTGGATTTATAAAGTGAATTTTGGGGACACATAAATTTTACACTCTCCTTTTCCCTCTCAGTGCGTAGGAATCAGCAACCGTCTTAAACAAAGGCAAAGATCAAACATCCAGGAAGGACCACACAACGAAGACTCAAACGCTAAGTCTAACAGCACAGGCTTTAACACTCAGTACAGATACAGCCCAGTCTTGACATTTGCAGTTCAGTCAACCCGGGGAAGTACAGCAGTTGATGAGCCAAGTCTTGTTAAATGTCACTTTTTGGAAATTCCCAGCTCAGTTCCCCTGAGTTGAATTTTTTTTCTCTCCTCTGTGGGATAATGATTAATGAGCAGGAAGGCTTGGATCTAATTCTTCATGCAACCAAACCTACAATCCAGGGTCAGAATGTAAACAAAGCTGCATCCACAGTACCCTAAATTGACAGGTTGGTTAATACATGGGTAAAGAACCAACTAAATCTCACTGATTTTAGGGAATATCTCATGAAACAGAAGTCAAGGGATAAACAGGAAGCTTTTTTTCTCAAAGATCCAAAGATAAACATGTTAAGGAAGCACATTCTCATTAAGCTACTGTAAATCCAAAGGCATAAAGAACACTTAAACAACCTTTTCTTAACATGAGTGTGTTACATGTTAATATGATCTTTACTCAGGGTCAGGCACAAAGTCAAAAAGAGCCTTAACCAGACTCCTTTCAAATATTTCAAGAAAGCTAAATGGTTTGTTTTTCTGTGTCCCCTGACACAATGAGAACTTTTGGAAAAACTTATACACCAAGTCACATCTTTTTTTGTGCTCTCTATCTGTCAGAGCTAGTGCACACACTGGCCTACATGCCTACAAACATAAAGCAGCAGCAGTGCACAGGATGACACCCTGTGTTACAAAAATCGAAGGTGGTGTTAGCATTTTCATTAGTCTTTATAATTAAACTGCTGCAAACCAATCGGGGAAAACAATCACTTTTGTTTCTCTGATTCACTGCTCTGCTTCCACCGCTGCCACTCCCTCCCTCACTTCATTCACTTTCTAGCTCGCTTCGCTGCCACTGCTCACTTTCTCTGTCTCTTTTCATGCTCTCTGTATCGCTGATGGACAGTGTCTCAGGATTTCATCAGTGGCAAAGAAAAAAAGCCTCGCAGATTAATTTCTGGCTTTTATTTTTCATCTCTTTTCCATTAACTTGAAACATCTTCTCCTTGAACTGTGGTTCTTCACTGTTTACCACCGCAGGAAATAATGTTATGAATTGGTTCAATCGGGCACAGCCTAATGCTAGTGTCAGCCTGGTTACTGACCTGTGTTTGAGAAGCAGGGCCCGAAGAACGTTGGGCCTGTCCTCGGCTCTGATCTGATCGGAAATGATCATCGTCTCCACGACCAGGTGGGCGATGCCGGGCAGAGAGGTCTGGTCGAGGTCCAATAGGATGGCACCTAGAGAAGAAAGGCCAACCCAAACATATCGCTGCTGCAACTTTATTCAGTCTTAAGAAGAAGAAACAGTTTTAAGCAAGCTTGAAACAAAGCAGGAAACAATTTGCGGTTTTCTGCATATCACAGTTATGTTTGTGAATTTCATTTCAGCTGCATGACTGATAACCTGATGCTTGCTGGACACACGCAGGAGCTTTTTACCATGTGTGATGGTGCGGCGAAGCTCCAGCAAGCTGCGGAAGGACAGCGAGGCCACATGAGGTTTTCCCCAGCGGTCTGTCTCATCGTCCACATCCTCCTCGAACTTGATCCAGCGAGCACGCTCCTTCCATCGCATTTCATGGTCCTTCTCCACAATCAGCTCGTTCAGCTCCACAAACAACTGGAGATAAAACAGGGCAGAAACATAAGCGCTAAAGCACACGCTTGACCCGTTACACGTACCTGTCTAAGATTACTTTTGGAATATGTTTGACAACTGTGTTATGAGGGTGTAACTCAGTGGGGAAAAACATGTCAATCACGTTGTTTATAATCCATGATCAAGTTCCTTGGAACGCATTTAAAGCTGTGAAAATCCCCCCAACTTCTTTTCCAAGTTCCTATCTTCAATACAGTTTGTTTACCAAAACATACATGGAGAAAGAATAAAATAATGATTGAAGACAGTGCACACAGCACACTCTACCAGCTAAGAGAAAGGCTGTGTGCATCATGTACTCGCTGTCTTTGGACAGAACTAAGAAGAATAAAGTGGTCCGGAGGGACAATCTGTTACATTTTTAAAAAGAGTGACTTTTTTCCTCAGAGCAACACAATTCTTGTTTTTGACTGTCAAACTCAGAAGAAACAAATATGCACTTTGTGCTTAAGCTACAGTAAGACTACACTTGGGACCTGTAATTAAAGCTCTACTGCTCAATACTTATACTAATACTAACTAGGATTGTGTGTGAGAAAGGGGAAAAGCATACACAAAATTATCCCCCAACTCTGCAATTCCCCTGAGCATTGCTGATCTATTTTCGCCTTTTCAAGCTTTTAGTTTTGGTTTGTCTGCCTACAGTTTACATCTGCATGTTGGTTATTTCTCAATCCCTTCATCAACCTTTTTTCAAACACAGACTGTAAACGGATAAAGCCATCGTGACACAACTTATTGCTTAGCAAAGGTCATTCTAGAAGCACCAGCTTTTTCAAAAAGGAACCAGTCTGACCGAGAAACTGAAACACAAGAGACATTTAAATGATAGCAACTTGTTAACTGAATATACCTGGATTTAATTTATTTTTTGACTGTAATGAAGACCATTATTTACAAAAAGAACATCATGTTATAATCAGCAAGACGTTAAACCATGAACTCGTGAGGAAGGTGTTTACTTAGGTCACAGGTCACGAGACGAGGGCTGTTCTCCCATAGACTTCTATGGAAATTAGTTTCATTGTGTAGCCAGAGGAGATGCCCCCTGCTGGCCATTAAAAACAATGCGGGTTAAAGGCACTTGCATATTAAATAATCATTACAGCCACAGAAGCAACATCCATCTCTTATAATCACTTTTGGAGAGCAGCAGGGAGATGTTAGTGGTGTCATATATTTAATATATATTCTTAGCACTATTTGCTGATTATATTGTTTTATGTATAAGAGAGGCCCAACTCTGAGTACAATCTGTGCCAAAAAGTACTGACAGGAAATTGCATGTTTTTACAGAGAATATGAGCTGCAGGCAGAAAGTGAAACTAAGTAGAGTGTTTGATCGAAAGTTAAAGTGTGCGTGACGTGTAGAGGAAGTATATAAATAGACCACTTTGAGCCGTGTCTTTCTTTGCCATTAAGAGAATACAAAAGAACTGGATTTAATACTTGGTGCCGTGACCCGGATTCTTTTGTGGCTGAGGGGACTAATTCGGAGTTTAAGGTACGATCTGATATGAGGCAAAAAAGGTAAAGCCATTGTACAGTGTCTCCTTTTGTAACTTGCTAGCAGCCTTTGGATCACTTATTAGTTAAAGGACAAGATATTTTCCCTGCAGCACCTTTATTACACAGTAAAAATGCCAGTAACAATCTCAAGTTGTTGTCACTGTTTATCTCTGCCACTGTGCCAACACAAAATTATTTAACACTGTTTTAAAGGGTAGAATTCTTAACAAAGCAAGCTATTCAAAGAAAGCTCACTCATGAAACAAAGAAGTTTCTTTATGATGCTATCATAATAAAATCGAAGACTCACAGTCGTAGAAACAACTATCAGGAGGCTGTGAGCCCCAGCACATGTGCAAAAGTACTCACATCTGACTGTGTCCCTGCAACAGTATATGTCTCCAGGACCACATTTTGTCATGCTGACGCACAAAAAACAAAAACTATAACACGGTGAAAAGAACACCAGCTATGCTACTGCATGTGATTAAAAAAATTAAGCAAAACAAAACATGACTGTCACTGCGCTGCAAACCTCGTGAGTTTTCTTTTCCGCAGCCCTCTTCTTCTTCTTCAGGCTGGACAGCGGCGTAGAACTGTTGCTGGTTCGGCTCATGTGACATCGGGACGACTTCTTCACCAGGTGCCGACGCACCCCAGGGTTATCCTCAAATCTGTGACCTAGTGTTGTCAAATCAGAATGTAAGAGGTCAGAATTGCTAAGTCATGATGTCTGGATTATTAGTAAACAACCCGAATATTTACATGTAGTAAGAGGTAGGCTGAAATGCTTTTTTTTTGTTAACACATCAAGTGTGTGTAATTATAAATTGTGCTCCATACTGGAACGTCCAATAACGTAAGGCACAGACTACACAGTATTGTGTGGAACAGGAAATTGTTACAGAAGAGGAGGTTTTACGCACAAACATTTGTCAGTTCATAAAAACTATATTCAAATTCAATTTCCTCGACCTGCCAATCACATGTTATTGAATTTTGGATAATGAGGCAGCCTTGGCAACGACTCTCCATTCACCAGAGGGGGAAGATTGGGTGGTCCCTAAATTTGAATAAAGGGAATGGAAATCTAAAGCTAATATAGCTTTTCCACATATGTGGAAATATGTTTAGAGAGAAATGATTTCAAGTTCTGATTATCATAGTCTTTTTACAATTCATTACAAAACTAAAGAAACACAGGTTGGTGGATCTGGTTTGTGTATGCCAAAGTAATAGTGGACTGTACTGCTGCCGACCAGCCAGAGCAGCCAGTGCATGAAAATAATTTCTTCCTGAGTAAACACTGTCTTTTTTAATTTTTCTCCCTGAGCAGCTGGAGGCCGAGTGTTTGTGTGTGCACAAACTGCTGTTAGTGTTCCATCCTGCTGCGTCATGCCTTCCTTGGGGAAACAGAGAGAATGGAAATTAAAATGAAGTTAAGCTATATTTTATTTTGTAATGTCTCCCAGGCAAAAACTCTGAAGGTTGGCCTTGTTTGACCTGCCTCAGTTGATCTGGATGAGCTGTTTTTTTTCTTACCACAGGGCAGGGCAAAGAAAGGGCATTCCAGTGTAGGTGAAAAGGACATTCTATCCATCTTCTTGAACTCGTTGAACCCATGTCAGACTTTCTCCAAACTCGCAGAGAAACCATGACTTAGATGCCCAATGAAACCTGAACCATAGTAGGGTATAATCCAACACACTAGAGCAACAATTGTCCAGATATTTTGTGAATGTCTGATGAACTTTCAAGCATGTAGAAAAATTTTTTTTGGAAGTATCAAGGCCTGTAACCTTACATTTGCTCATAGAGCTTAATGCAATTAATGTAAATACTTCTATTCACTGGAAGCCCACTTTTAGGCATATATATATATATATATA